GGTGCCAATCCTGATACTTGCAGCCATCTTGTATCCTCCCTTTTGTATCCATGACGAATTGTCCTTATGTATCCATGATGAATTGTTGGATTACCAAATAAGGTAATAATTGCTTGCAATTTGGGGTTTGCTATGAGATTTTTAGTTTAGTTCATGATGAACCACTAGCTCGTCAGATTCTATTGAAGTTAAAAAAACTGCTCTCTATGCAATTGAATCTTCTCGTAGGTCATTGAAAAACCAATGAAAATATGAATCTGACCTGTGAGGTTATGGTGAATGCTGGCATTGGGTCTGTGCATGATGCTGTCACAGTGCTTTAAGCCTCGGACTTTTACCCATATTTCAACCCCACAACCTTCACAATCACAAGCATGCTCAAATATGTTTTCCCTAATAATACACAATATCTTCATTTCATCACATACCTATCATTGCACTGTGCTCACTTGAACTTCTTCAAATCTAGATCCGATAAGACATGTAAGACATTGGGTATATTATGATATTAAATAATGAAATATAATATAATAATCTTTGGTTTTATGATATTTGATAGGTGTAAAAGATGTTTTTGGAGCATTTTTCTAGGGAAATAATGTACAATCTTTTAACTTTAAGTATGACCTGAATCGATTGCAAACTTCATATTTGCACATTTGATGAGATGAACCATTTGTGTCATATTGTGAAATTATTAAGATTGCAATCGATTCAGGTCATAGTGTATTTTTGGTATTTCTGTGATAATCAATTGAATCCAATGGCCTCTATTGGGATCTGATCTAAATACACTTTGAGCATGCTGGAAATTCAATATATTTGACTACAGTTACTAGTAATTATATTCTTGTGGTACATTGTCACTTTCAAGATCTGATCTACATTTGTACAGTCCCAAGTGTCCATTGAATGACATTTTTTATTGCTTTATTTCTGCTTCCTGCTTCTAAATTTCCCTGTCATCCTGCTGCTTCTTCTCAATGCTTCTTGTTCTGCTTTTTGTTTATGTTGCCTCTTGCTCAAAATATATTGTGATCTATGTGCAGAATTGTTGTCTTTAAACGTCTTAGCATGAAGCATGTATTTGTTGTAGCAACCAAGGAATTCCACTAGGGGCTCTCAGTAGCGTGCTTTTAGACTGTGAGGTGGAGCCAGTATAGTCAATTCCCACCACAACCTGTCCAAATTCTATTTATAGTGCCACAACATATTCAAGTTATATTTATTCACTTATTTGGTCAAAATCACAAAAATAATGCTAAAAAAGTTGTAACAATAACAGTAATAAAGTTAGCATTATCATCCTACTGAATGAAGTCTGAGGGGGAATGCTTCTTAAATTTGACGACCAAACTGGTCCAATTCATTAGATAAATCAGGTAAATTTTGAAAGCTTAACATGTTGGATGCTATGCACCATTTTTCCAAATGTGCAGAAATTCAGAGTAAATTGTTCTCCTAAACATTTTGCATATTTAAGTTTAAAATTAAGAGAATAATAGGCAACATTTTGAAAACAAGATTTGAAGATTGGCACCCTATCCCTTAGCACTGAGTTTAAATATTATGACAATTATATAAACAGTGTGACTGGCTACAGTGCTCAAATTGTACCAAATAGGATTTAAAAATGATTCCCTGAATTCTCAGACTGTACCATATGAATGATTTAATTATACAGATTGTCTCAATAAAAATGTAACAAGTACAAAATGGTCAATATCCTTTATAATTTCGGTATTTACCCTAAAATATACTTGAGCACCAAGATAAAAAAGATGTCTGTTTTATGGGATACTCGTCCCTATGTAATGTAAAAGACCATGTGCAGTATGGCAAGTGATATTAAATGGTCATATCTTTCACCATCAGTACTTTCTGGGCATAAAAACAGTGGTTTTATTAAAAAATATGTTTTCTTTCAAGTGAAGTACCCATGATGATAAAAATATAAATCAAATAATTCAAAAATTATGAATAGGGACCCCATGTCAACATTTTTTCAAAATATTGAACCTATTTACTCAAAAGAGGATCTTCTTTTTCTGATTTTTATTGCATGAAAACATTATTCAACAAGGGGTTAAAGTGCCAAGGTCCTAATCCATAATTTTTCAGAGAGTTGGATTGATATTTTACTATCATGGGGACTTCACTTGAAAGAAAACATATTGTTTTAATAAAAGCCACTGTATTTATGACCAGCAAGTACTCATGGTGAAAGATATGACTGTCTAAAATCATTTGCCATACTGCACGTGGTCTTTTAAAAAATGTCCCTGGGGAGAATCTCCCATATCCCCTAACCCCCTTGTGTTAGGGTCACTTCTTTGTACATTCCCCACACTCTTGCTTTGCCCATGTTTCAGTGTTATATGAATGATCGGCATCTAACACCAATTTCCCAAGGAGAGACCTGCCACATGTAACAATGTCATAATATTATTGTAAAAAGGTCTCAAGAACATTTATGACTGGAATGATCCCATATCATTTACTCAAAACTAAATATCCTAATGTGTTATTACTTTATATTGTTTTATGGCTATCGTGACTTAAAAATCTTGTGTATTTTATCAACATTGGGATTGTTTCAGGGTATTACATTTACCATAGTGACTAGTTCTGGATTGATAATCTGTCTTACAATACCATTTTTTGATTTGGGTCACATTGAATGAGCTGATGTCTTATTGCCATAGACTTCACCTCAAGAATATATTTTCAAAATAATTGCTCAATTAAAAATGGTTGGAAATTCAGTAATTCTGTAAAATAACAAAATAGTGTCTTTCATATAGTATGATCCTATAAGTTCCAAATTGTGTCCCAATGGTGATTCGTTTCCCACTGGATGATACTGTTTGAATGTTCATTCAAATTCATGAAAAACTTATATATCAATGCAATCTGTAGTAGAATAAACATTTATCTGAGTCAATGATTTTTTATTTTGGGTACTAAATATCCTAGATGCGAGTAGAAATAATCTTGATTTACGTCATTAGAAATTCAAACTACAGTCAAACTGATGTCATATTTGGAATCTACACGTGAAATTACATCTAGAAATATGGTTTTGAAAAGAGTTTATCAACTTTGAAAATTTAATTTTCTTTGAAAATGTGACTTCTAGGTCGGGGAGATTCCCGATAGCCCCCATGTTGGAAAATCACAAAAATGGAAATATCTTTTCTTTTGTTGGGCAGATAATATTTTCTTTTACTGGACATATTTTAATTTGTATAACTATCAGATACATAAGGGTAATATGAAAAGTGAACCACTAAAACTGATAAATATTCAAGTTTAAGGGAATTTTGTAATACCCTGCCATGTTATTTCCCCCGAATCAGCCACCTGGTGGCGAAACTGGTAACTACTTACTCGCATCTGAGTAATTGTGATCAGTTTGCTGGGCGGATGGCCGTTCCAATTATTCTTCCTCCGTGTGTTTCCAGGCAAATGTATAGAGAGATTGATTTCAGATTTTGTGGTGTTTCTTTGTATAGAAATCTAAATGAGATTAAATTTTAAGCATGTTAGTTATTATTTATCTCAGGCATCAATTTTAGATTTTCCTTCCTGAAAAATTGTCCTTAAGTCTTGTCTAAGTCATTCTAGCCAAACCATTTGATAGATTGATCTGAAATTTTTAGGAATGTTTCTTTGAATGAAACCTCACAACTGATTAGTATTCTGGCTAATGTTAAGGTGGCTTATAATGCTCCTTATTTTTTTGTGAAGCCACTCAGTAAAATTACGATTTCTCTGCACCCTAATGTTCAATCAACATAATTCGAGTATCTATGTGTTCATGACACGTTTGGGCATCCGGTAATGACAATTTCTACACAAAGTTTGCACACGAAATTGACGTAATTCATGAATGAAGTCGGGAAGACAAAAACTTATGACTGACATGTTTGAAAGAAACATTAACACACTGACAAAAAATATGGTAGAACCGAAACCTGTCCAAAACATGATTTTCAGATGATTTTTCCCCTTTATTTTTAGTAAAATTAATGATAGAATGTAACCATTTTGCTCAATAAACGCATTTTCATTCACATCCAGGGTTCTCACCAGGAAATCTTTAGACCCCTGATTTTTTTGCAGTATCGCAACTACTCCTCCCCATGTGAGATCAGAGATATACTACTGAAGATTATCTTCCTATTTTAATCACAATATACATTTCTAAAAGGTTTCCGACTTCCTATTCCTTGTTTCTATCCAGTTTTATGTATTTTCTCAAGAGTTTTACCACAAATAATGTGATAAATTAGACTCTGGAAAAAACACTTTTGACTCTGGAATAGCTATTAGACTCTGGAGCAAGAGGTTCTAAGGACATTTGACTACGGAGAATCTCTGGAGTCTTAAAGCCTAGTGAGAACCCTGACATCTGACATAAATGTTGGTATGCATATGCTAAGTTTAAGATGTATAACATATCTACAGGTGATTGTGAAAGGCTATGGGTTAAAATTATCTTACAGTTTTAAGTTTATTGTTACATATGTTACCCCTACTTTGAACTGAGGAGGAACCTCTGAATTTGAAGGATGTGACCTCAAATTCACAAAGTGGTTGTTATTGATTAGACTGTCATTCTATTGACTGATTTTTTACAAAGATTTACTGGATTGAAAATTTTTTTTAAATGGTGCATTGCTCTAAACTTAATTGAAAATTAAATTTTATGTCTCACAAGATCTCCTTATTGAACAAATTCCTAGATATTGAATTTCTCCTAATTATGACATCAATTTAAGGTAAAAAGTCACACTCACAATTTTGTGAGTTGTCCTATTCAATCCATTCTAACTTTTTACCATATTTACGAAATTCTTTGACATTTTCTTCGTTTGCCAAAAGTATGGACATTGTACATCTGATTGTTTAGAATGATATTACAGAAAAATGACTGATAAAGGACCATGAACCTTTTTTCTTTACAGAGTTTAATTAATGTTCCTCTGTTGTTTCAGGAACCCTGACGATAGTTCTGCCAAGAATAAGATGTTGTACTCGAGTAGCAAGGACAACATTTTAAAGAAATTTGGGGACACTCACAAGATTCAAGCCAATGATTTTGATGATCTAGAATTCACTTACATTTTTGCGGATCTGAAAAAGAAATACAAATAGACTTGAGAATGCATCATAACTGTGAAAATAGTCCATTTAAATGAATGAGCCATGGGCCGCACAAAAACGTATAATACAGGGTGGTCCAAAAAATGGGACACATGTCATATTATATACCAGTGGATAGGGAACTTAATGACATGTTTTCATGAAGAAAAATCAAGTTATTTTTAAAATATGAGTGTCACATTTGTGGATCACCCTGTATTACTGGGGTGTGATACTTTGTTTATAATGTATGGATACACCATTATGTATAAATAATTAGATAACCATTTTTATGGAGTGTAAATAGATGGCAGAAGCAGTTTGCAGAGCATTTACAAAAGTGTACAAAAATGTAAAGCTCTATTATTACAACTAAACAATTATGTTTACATACTGGTCATGATTTAACCTTGAAATTTGAATCCTTTGCATTGTTAAAATATGGATATAGTCCAAACTTTTCAGAAAATAACTGGAAGTAACAGATTTACCAATTTAAAAGTATGGTCAGATTTTAGATATAACCTCAAATAATTCTTAATGTTTGAATATTGAAGTTTTCTTTAATGATAGCTATATAGCAGTTGCAATTACTGGAGTAAAATATATATATATAGATATATAAAAAAATGTAACCCCTTATTTTTAACTCGCATGTACTTTTTTATGTCATCACCTTGAAGGACATATTGTTATGGCAACTGCATGTTTTGTGATGAGCAGTCAGTGTTGGCATTCAACATCTGTAACACACTGTTACACTTTTGTAATTCCAACCAGGTGGTGACATATTGTATGTTAATGCCTTGTTATAATTCTAATAGCAGATGGTATTAAAACTCAAATCCGAACTACTTTTATAAAAATTAATATTCAAACAATCTCATAACATTATGAAAGATCTATTCCTAATATTCACATATGAAGGAACTTTATTTTATGTAACGTTAACCTGGAAATATAACATATTGCTTGTCTATCATTACATTGAGCCTTGTAAAACAGGGTTTGTCCAATAAGTAAAGCACTATATACTCAAACGTTCTGGTGCAACCCTTGTATGTCATGGTTTCAAACATATGAGGGATATATAACTTTTCATTTGAATACACAATCATGAAGATCAACTAGAGGAATTTAAACTACTTGAAGCTGTAATTAAACAACAAACGGCATTATTGCATTGAAGTTCTTTCCTCAGATCTCTGTTTATATAACCATTACCATGACAACCAGTGACAACTTAAGTTTTAGCAAATAGAATGTTATACTAGTACTGTTCATTGTTCCACATAAGTTTCAACGCCAACATATTGGATTCACTTAACTATCATTCCTAACCAATGAAGGGCTGAACAGTCGTGTTGTAAAGTTATATTTTGTAGATAAATTAACTTCTTAAATTCCATTTGTCATTTAAATTTAGCATTAGTTCACATGTATAGAAATTGTATGGCTTTATATTTATAAACTAGCAGAGTATTAAAAGCATTCCATGGTTTGAACCTAATTGTCTTTCTTAATTTGTCTTTTATTAGTCAGAAATGTTGTGTTTGTCGATTTTGACAATCTGTGACAATACTTTTGCGAATATATAAAGTATTTGTCTGAAAATTTGGTTTTTGGTTTATAAAATGAGCACCGTATACACTGTACTTGTTGTTTTGTTTATTTTTTGTGTATATATGTATTTTGTTAGCATTTAATGGTCAGAAATAAATCTCACTTTACAATTAACCCAATTCCAATATTTTGTTTTCCATTGTACGTTATAGAATATAAATAAAATGAACCCATACACAGCATCAAACAGTACATTAAAGTACCGTTTTGGCTATGGTACTCTATGGCACCTTAAAATCTGGTAACATAGACTAAAACAGTACCGTGAGGTATCTTGAACATAATGGCAGTGGTACCATACTCAAACTGTACCGTATTGTGCCGTGATTTCGGAGTGTGGATGGGAGTGTATACTAAGTTACCTTTCAAAATGAGTGATAATTTTATTTTTCTCATTATTATGACCGATATACTTTCATATCTGCTTATCTGATAGAAAAGTTACTCTTGTTTTAGGTGTCCTTTCTGGACTGTCCATCCTGAAATTTTCAATTTTCGTCTACCTGTTTCCAACCAAACCATTTGATGAATCAATTAAAAAATGTCATGGGTGCTTCTTGGTATGAAAGTATAACATATAACAGTGTCATCAAAAGTTCCCGCATAAGTTTGACAATCGATTGTCTCCCTTTGGATCAGTTTTAGTTTGATGATTTTAAGATTCTTCGTGGCTAACTTGTGAAGTGGATTGCACACACTTCTACACAGGGCAAGAGAGCAGAGATAACGGCAATACTTTTTTGGGGACTGGAAGCTAGATCCAAGCCTAACAATCAGTAATGCTTTGTCCATGTTTATGATTCGCCTAGCATGTATGTAGTTTATATGGCCTCACTACTGACTTAGCTGCTTCTAGTTAGTTAATTTTAGTTCCTAGTGTCAACATGCTGATAAATAGATTGGATTGTCACCAACAGACAACTTTTTACATCGTCTTGTCATGGGCTTTCAACTAGAAAGCCCATGGTTTTGGATAGAAATAACATTAAAGACGATACAAATCATGTCATATGTAAATAGTTCTCTATGGTCACCAGATTAACTAAAAGTCATAAAGAAATTATAGACATCTTGAAAGGATGTGTCCGGATATATGCCCTTTTGGTCCCTCAGTCAAATGTGTGTAAAATATGTTTTTTATTACTGTCCAAGTTATATTTGATTCGTATATTTACTTTTTCACGAGTTTTGATGCATAATTAACCCCCTGCTGAGAGTCAGAAAAAGTATCTTGACAAACAAAAAGATAGTCATTATCATAGAAAAAACACCAATGGCAACATGTATGACTTACAAAGAAGAAATAACTAAAGACCCATGAAGAATTAAAAAGAAAATCACATTTTTGTAATATATTTAAGGATTAAAATTGTTTTCAAATTTCTGAATTTCCCGCCAGTTTAATTTGAAGGGGGAAAAACAAAATGGCTGCCATTTGACGTAAGAAATATCAGAAAAAAGTTGCTTCACTTTAGTTTTCACAATGAGCACAGTTTCCCGGTTTAGGTTTTTTGACTGATTCTGACTCTTCATCACCAGGGTCGTGTATAGAGATTATAAAATAGAAACCAAAATGTTGTGCTCAGCATGAATTTGACTGAAATATGTGCAACTTCACCAAAACAATTGAAGTCTCAAAACTGGATGCTCAGTAACTTTGAGTGACTATAATCCCTTGATTACACAGATAAACACCGACTCACTTATCCAGAAATACCATTCAATGTCTATACAAAGAAAGTAAGCAATGTTTTGGAGGATATGTTTTAAACTTTTTGAATAAATAATTCATTTAATATTTGCCATTGATTTTTTTTCGATTTTGACAAAGTGATATGCACTGTCTTTGATGCCAATATTCTTCATTAATTGTGATACAAATTGATATTTTTGTACTCTCAGAAGAAGGATAAGATATTGAAGTTTAATAATATGTGTGATTGAGTTGGTTTTTCAGACATTACAATTTTCAATATTTTCTAAGTCAATACCCAGACTCATCCTTTTAGGCGACGTTGGACTTGTCAATGAATCGAGGATAATTTGAAATTTATATCGGTTCTTCAATTTCAGGATCCCGGATGAGTTGCCTGTTCGAGAAAAGATGATATACGCCACCATGAAAAAGGGTTTCCTGTATTACCTTGATGGAATTGATATTAAGATACAAGCAAATTGCCAAAGTGATATTCTGCTCTCACATATGCTGGAGAAAATAATGTTACATGACGAGAAATTAAAGCGACAAAATAAAGAATAGGAATTGCAGTCTATAGACGGAACATGATCAGGGGCTGGACGTCTGTCTACTGTCTTACATGGTTTATTCCTTGTAGAGGCAGACTTTCTTCTGTGTATTTGTACCCTAGCAATTTATATACTTTTAATTGAACGCTTGCATTCAGTACGTACGTACGCTGGCAGTACAACTTGCGATACTATGCGTTCGTGTGACCTGTGTCAGACTAGAAATGAATTTAGAAATACTACAATTGAAACTGAGGAGGAAGACGATGAGTTGAGCGATTCAGAAGTTGAAAATGTATTCATTAATTGAATGACGGAATTGATTATTATATGGTCAGTTTTATATGAATCCTAGAATTATTTCATACCCTTTGCATTCGTTTGACTTCACTTCTTAAAAGAGAGCTTCGTAGTTTAACTAGACTCTGCACGCAGGGTAATTATTTCATGCAAATGAATCATTTAGTGTGTTTTAGCCAAATCAAGAATTTCGCGCTATTTCACATTGCCATTTTTTATGATATCAGCAATTTATACATTTTTTATGATATCAGCCATTCATACATTTTTATGATATCAGCCATTCATACATTTTTTATGATATCAGCCATTCATACATTTTTTATGATATCAGCCATTTATACATTTTTTATGATATCAGCCATTTATACATTTTTTATGATATCAGCCATTTATACATTTTTTATGATATCAGCCATTTATACATTTTTTATGATATCAGCCATTTATACATTTTTATGATATCAGCCATTCATACATTTTTTATGATATCAGCCATTCATACATTTTTTATGATATCAGCCATTTATACATTTTTTATGATATCAGCCATTCATACATTTTTTATGATATCAGCCATTTATACATTTTTTATGATATCAGCCATTTATACATTTTTTATGATATCAGCCATTCATACATTTTTTATGATATCAGCCATTCATACATTTTTTATGATATCAGCCATTTATACATTTTTTATGATATCAGCCATTTATACATTTTTTATGATATCAGCCATTCATACATTTTTTATGATATCAGCCATTCATACATTTTTTATGATATCAGCCATTCATACATTTTTTATGATATCAGCCATTTATACATTTTTTATGATA